AGGTCCGTTTAAACGTATATGTTATTAGCGTATGTAGTTGTATGAGCCAGTTCACACAGTATTCCGGATCCAGTAATACTATACTAATCCGTTTTATCGGATTGAAACCGCACGAGGCTTTGCACGGGGGTGCGCGGGGTGCGATGTGCTACACACAGCCGCCATTTGCCGGTTTCATTCCTAGAGTAGTGCACGTGTCCAGTGCTATCATAATCATGGCAAGCAAGGCGTTTGAAAAATATGTTGAGCAAGAAGTTTTGATAAATTGTGTTGAAAGTAGACCAGTTCTTTGGGACAAAACACTGGAGATTTATAAAGATAAAATTGCAAAAACCGCAGCTTGGCGCGAAATATGCGGTATTCTAAAGGAGGATTTTGAAGCTATGGAACAAAAAGAAAGACAAGAATTTGGTAAGTATCTATTTTATATTGTAATGGAGACATTGTTTTTTATTTTAAATAGCTTCATTCTGCCAAGAAACTGACCCAGATTCGGACACGAAATAGTTTTCGAATTCCGTTCGAACTGAATTTGCAGTTCGACCACCTCGTAGCGTTTCATCATCAGGTAGGCTATTGAAATGAAATGCTTCAGATTCGGATGTGTTGCCATCCTTTAAGCCCTCTTTTTCCCTTACAAAGTTGTGTAGAACGGTACATGCCTTAACTATCCATATAGCTGTTGTTTTGTTGACGTCTAGAGGCCGGTGGAATACTCTCCACTTATTAGCAAGAATACCAAATGCACATTCAACGTATCGTCTAGCTCTGGTCAAACGATAGTTATATATTCGCTTATTTACGTCTAAATGCGTCCCGCTAAATGGCCTCATTAAATTTTCGTGTAAACCGAAACCTTCATCGCCGATTATGACGTAGGGAACTCTCGTTTCTGAGCCTGTTATTAATGGGCAAGGTTCTGGTATTTGTAAACTGCCATCTAGCATCATTTTCCAAAATGTCGACTCCTTGAATATTGATGAATCGCATTCTTTTCCATACGACCCAATACTAACATATAGAAAACGATAGTCAGAGTCTACGATCGCTAATAATATGATGGAAAAAAAGTCTTTGTAATTTAGGTACATTGAGCCACTTTTTGCTGGTTTTCGAAGTCTGATGTGTTTACCGTCCACTGCTCCTAAACAGTGGGGAAAATTTGCTTTTGTGTCGAATCCATTTGATATATGCTCCCATTCACTCACTGTTGTAGGAAGTCGCATAAACTCGTCATTCAAGTTGTTCCATATGCATCGTGTAACTTCCTTAATAATGTTGCTTATAGTTGACACACCGACACGAAAGACGTAATAAAGTTCTTGAAATGTACACCCAGACGCTGCATACCTAAAAAAAAAAATTAATCAATACCTATATTATTACACATATATTGACTTCCCATACAAAGTAACGTTAGTGACTGTAAGGGTTTAGTTTTAGTTAATTTTGTCTATTACTGATTATGTATATGTCTATGTTTCGTAGAGGTACTTCTCTATGGTCAGACTATTAAAAATGGCTTGATGAATAAGTCTTGTTTTATTATAAAACTATAAAATATTATAGTGACCAACAAATTTTGTATGGAAAGTCGAAATTTTTATGAGAGTTTTTAGCAAAGTCGTAAATCAAAACTCATACTTATATATATAGTACATAAATAAAATAAAATTAAACTGAACTGAACTAAATTATAAAATTACCTAATTAAAATAAATTGATTTAAACATTAGTAATACTTTTTTGCTTCCCATTATTTACTGACCGATTAGTTCTTGCACTGTCAATTTGACTTATCCACTGACCAATATGGTAATTAATTACTGACAAGTCTATTCTACCTTCTTATTCGCCTTTCACTTACTAAGCTATTGACAACCATCTTATATTATTATTTACTTGCTTCAGGAAAATATGTTATAAAAAAATGGAATTCGACTAGAGATGCCTGGATACGAACATTGAGTGAGAAAAAGAAATTGAAGAAATCTGGAGCTGCTGCCTCAAATACCGAGCCTTACAAATATCACAATCAAATGTTATTTTTGAAAAAAGTTGTCACCCCAGGTGATACACACGAGAACGTCCCTGCTAATGACAACATCACGGAAACAGTAGAAAGTAATAAAGACAACGAAGATGAACCTGATCAGATTACGGAACAAAGTGGTAGTGACAGACAAAAGGAAAGACAAAATTTAGCCCCGCCGCAACGCAAGGCAATCAAAAGAAATGTGAATGAAGTAGACGCCAAAATGATTGAATACTGAATGATCAGTTAAAAAAAAGTAAAAATGAGTTTGAAGATCCCAATTTATCCTTCTTCAAAGGTATTTTGCCGCAACTGGCTTCACTTAATGGCGATCAAATTTTAGAATTTCAGTCTGGAGTGATAAACCTTTTACAAAATATTAAAAGTAGAAGATATGGTCAGTCAAACTACGAGTGGCCTCCATATTCACAAAGTTCTAGCACTCCTCACTACCACACCCAAGGTTATTTTAGTAGGCCACATCATCTTGACTCTACACCATCAGTAGAAGGTTCGCCATCAGTAGAATCTACATTCAGCCAGGAGTCAGACTTGCCAGATCTGTCTATGTTTTGAAATAAATCTTCATTTTTGTAAACCTTTTTGTCATTTTAAATTTTAATTGATAATAACAAAAATTAAAGTTCTTACCTTAAAAATATCGCTAGTTTTACTTCAGGGCACAAGCTTTTCCTCCAGTTTGTGTCTTTCTTTTTTAAATCCTTTTCTAATCGTTTAAGAAGGTCATCAAAAGTAGACGTCGTCATTCGGAAATAAGTAAAAAATTTAGATTCGTCTTCTTTCAGCTGACGCACAACAGCACCACGACAAAATCTTTGCCTTAATAGTGGATGTATCCAATAACGCCGGGGCTTCCTCCGCCGCAGACGACGATAGTACCAATACAACACGACAACGTCCATTCTCGTAGAAAGTAGGCGATACACTGAAGAACGAAAGTCCAGTAGCGTCGGATCTGTTAAAATCGGTCCTGTAAATGCTGTGTGAATATTACCTCCAGTAGCGACGGATCAGTTAAAAAGGATCCTGTAAAACGGATGTTCTATGTGTACGCGCCCTTATATGTATTATAATACTGGGTACAATTACTTAACTTTTTCAACTTTCAACCGTCTCTTGTGACCCACTTAGTTAATTTACCTACAATTTTGGTTATTAAAGCTATAAAACATGTTATCTTATAAGTAAAAATTATAAAAAAATAATCATAATACTCACAAATTTCGAAGTATGTAACCTAATAGACATAAAATTGGCAATTTTTACAAAAAACCCTTAAAGTCAAATATCTTGAAAAGGGTTAAGTTTAGGGTAGGGTGTTACATAGTCATATCAGTCAGAAATGGTGGAAACTACAAGCCCCTAAAGGATCTACGTCGACATAACATGTAACCCTGTAGATAATTGCTTAAAAACATTATGAGGTCCCATTCATTGACAAAAATGTTAACTGTCTTATGCCTGGTTTTTTTTATAGAGCCATTTATAATTAATATTTAAGGGCTAAGTTATATCAATAACAGGAGACATCACATTGTGTTCAGGTTCTGTGAAGGGGTTCTATATGCAGGTTGAAATGAAATATTTTTATTCTAAAGCAGCTCGCCTCCTGTCCTGTTATGATTTGTTTTAATATAAGTAACTAGTTTTATTTTTAAATATTTAATAAATACGTGATACGATCTGCAAGTTTTCCGATAATATCAGCGTAACGGCGCCAAAGCAGCCATGAGTCATCACATATTGATGGGAGAGAAACCCAGCCGTGAGGTTTAGTTTCATGAATAGCGCGTAAGTTTTATTCTAAATTTGTAAGTGTTTCAGTGTAACTAAACAATTTGAATTGAGATTATTTTCATATATTTACACTTGAAATAATTTATTATACTTACATAGATTTTTGTCAAAAATACGAGTACCTAGTAACATAGTGTTGCTTTTTTACAACATAGTGTTCTACACAAATTAGAAGTACACCTGCGTTATTATTCGAAGAAGTAAATTATATCTTTCTATATTTGTGCGTAGACGGAGAAAACTAAATTTGTGCATAGTAAAGTATCAGAATTGCCAGACTTTTGCGAAGTTAATTCGCCAGTTTGTGTGTGTTAAGTAGCCGACATTCGCCAAAGCCATAAAATCCTTAAAAATCAAGGAAAACATTTCTACAATTCTGCTTGCTGCTGGATACTGGCGAATATGAACTCTCTTAATTCCCCATACGTCGAAATACTCAAACCCCCAAATGAGTTATTTTACAACTCCATTCCCCACAAAATCTCCAATCAAATTTGTAATTCCCCAGTCATTTTATTAAGTAGCCTAAAATCGCCTTTTCCTATTGCAAACATAGCTTAAATGATCGGTTGGAACAGACACGTCAGAGAGGCCCACGGGAGTGCGAAGCTGCATTTTAATACGTGGATATCGCTTGGTAAACCGACGAGTGGTCCAATATATAATAACATGACAGAGTCGCGCAAAATTTTCAAAAGTAAATTAAAATGGTGTCAAAATCATCAAGACCAAATAAAAATGGATGTGATGGCGTCACATCACTCTAAATTAGATTTTAAAAGCTTTTGGAAGTGTACTAATGTATTAAATACTAAGCCCAACGCTCCCGTGTGTATCGATGGTGCCTCCAGACCAACTGACATTGCAAACTTATTTCTGCAGCATTTTAAAGTACAGTCACCACTGGGAAAGCCGAACAGGGAGTTCGACACCGAGACCATTGGGAGTTTAAACGTTATTATTCTCGCCAAAGATGTCAAACTAGCATTAAAAAAAATGACGAAAGGTAAATCGCCAGGGCATGATGGTCTCTGTGTCGAGCACCTTCGGCACGCCGGGGCTCATCTCCCACGTGTACTTGACATGCTCTACAACCTTTGCTTGAATCACTCATACCTACCTTCCGATTTGGTGAAGACCGTGGTGGTGCCTATAATTAAGAACAAGACGGGTGATGTCTCAGATAAGTCTAATTATAGGCCCATCTCCTTAGCTACAATAATAGCTAAAGTGCTTGACAGTGTGCTCAACTCATATTTAAGGAAACATGTTAAGCTACACGATGCCCAGTTCGGGTTTGTGCCCGGACTGTCGACAGAAACGGCTATTCTTAGTATGAAGCACACTGTCAAGTATTATACAGACAGAGAGACGCCTGTCTATGCTTGTTTCATGGATATTTCTAAAGCTTTTGACACTATATGTTACGACATCCTCTGGAAGAAGCTGAAAGATGCTGGCCTACCGCCCGAGTTAATATCACTATTTAGGTACTGGTATTTAAATCAAGAAAATCGCGTCAAGTGGGCAGGTGAGTATTCGGCTCCTTGCAGATTGGAATGCGGGGTGAGGCAGGGGGGGTTGAGCTCGCCTCTGCTTTTTAATTTATATGTGAATGCGCAGATTGAGGGACTCAGTAGCATGCATGTCGGCTGCTTTGTTGATGGTGTGTGTGTCAACAATATCAGTTATGCGGACGACATGGTGTTGTTGGCTCCCTCAGTCACTGCTTTGCGACAGCTGCTGTCTGTATGTGAAACATTTGCGGCATCTCATGGGTTCACGTACAATGTTAAAAAAACTGAGTACATGATCTTTAAGGCGGGAACCAAATGTCCTTTCTTTTTTCCACCAATTGTACTCAATGGTGTTCCCCTTAGGAGAGTGCACCAGTTCAAATACCTTGGACATTTGGTTACCGAAAACCTTAGAGATGATGCAGATATGGAGAGGGAGCGCAGAGCGTTGTCAGTCCGAGCGAACATGCTGGCCCGCAGATTTACACGATGTACAGATGCAGTTAAAATAACTTTATTTAGAGCGTTTTGCACTTCTCTGTACTCGTCGAGTCTGTGGATGGGATATACTCAAAAGGCTTACAATGCTCTGCGCGTCCAATATAATAACGCCTTCAGGGTGCTGTTGCGGCTGCCTGGTGCTGTTTGCTGAAGCACGCACAGACGGCTTCGATGCCGTATGGCGCAAAAAAACGGCCTCACTTGTGGACAGAGTGCGGGGCAGCAGTAACAGCATCCTGAAGATGATAAGTAGTAGCATGGTCCATGGTAGTAGGAACGATTGTCCTATTATGTGGACTCTGGCACAGAGGACAAAGTCATTCTTAATTATTAAGTACTAATATAGGCTAAGTATTATTGATAAATAAGATAAAACCTTTAGAATAACGGTTTTATTCCACAAAAATATTTGACAACAATGAACTAAAAGACTATCAAATGTAAAGTTCAAAATAGACATTAGAAACTAAAGAGTTAATATTATGACATTCTATCAGCCTTGAAAATAATCCTCGAGGTGGGCTGGTGGGTGTCGCACTCTTGCAGACCTTCGAATCTCTGGTTCGGTGTCCGCTGGAGGTTCAGGGTGGTCTATGTCTTCAGTCTCATTTTCGGAATCAGAAGATCTGGTTTCAGAATTTTGAGATGTAGGATTAGGGTCCTCCACTTCATTGGAGTTTTCGTTAAGAGCCTCAATATTTGTTGTTTCATCTACCATTATCTGACTATCTAGGCTCAATGGTGCTAAATGTCGGTTGGAAACAGTTGTCTCTCGACCGTCCTCGACCTAGTCTGGATTTACGTGCAGAAGAGTCACTTCTTCAACAATAGGTTGATACTTGTTAGTACGATTAAATTTTCTCATTAATACTTTTTCTGATTCCGTCAGCCAGGTAGGTATAGATACTCCATTCGATGACCGCCTGGTATGTGTAAACATTCTTTCGTGCGGCGTACAACAAGTCGCTGTGCACAACAAAGATCTGATACAATGTAAAGCTTGGTTTAGAACCTTTTCCCAATTTTCTATTGGTAGGTTCTGCGAACGTAGAGCCAATTGCACTGATTTCCAAAGAGTTCCGTTAAAACGTTCAACCTGTCCATTTCCTCTTGGGTTATAAGGTGTAGTTCTGCTCGACGCAATACCACGTGAATTTAAGAAGTTCTTTACTTCAGTAGATATGAAACAGGTTCCTCGATCTGAATGTAGATAAGACGGCATACCGAATAGCATAAAAATTTCATTTAAATGTTTGATTACCGTTGAAGAGTTCATGTCTGGGCACGGAAATGCAAATGGAAAGCGTGAGTATTCGTCTATTACTGTAAGAATGTATTTATTTCTCGTATTAGAAGGTACTGGTCCTTTGAAATCGATACTCAGTCTCTCCATAGGCGACGTAGCTTTTATCAAAACTGGATCAATTGTAGGTTTGTAAAATCTTGGCTTTATTTCGGAGCAAATTTTACACGACTTAGTCATGTTTTTAATTTCTTCCGTAGAATAAGGTAGATTCTTTGATTTAAGCCAGTGGGTCATTCGTGCTATGCCCGGATGACATAAATCATTGTGCAATGAATATAACTTTTCATTTCGTGTCGATATTGAGCTGCATACGCGTGAGAGTGCATCCGCTGCATCATTTTGTTTGCCTGGACGATATATAATGTCATACTTAAATGGCGCCAACTCCAGACGCCAGCGTTGTATTTTCTCATTCTTTATTTTGCTCGTTAGTTTATTGTTAAACATGAAAGATACTGATCTTTGGTCAGTGATAAGCCGGAAGGGTTTGCCGATAAGAAAATGACGCCATTTCTTCAGCGATTCGACGATAGCGTAAGCTTCTTTTTCTATCGCCGAGTGATTATGTTCACTTTTGTTTAGCATTCTGGAGAAAAAGGCAACAGGCCGAGAAGCCTGTGACAAAGTTGCTGCGATAGAATGATCTGACGCGTCTGTTTCCACGGTTAATGGTGCGTTATGATCAATTGCATGAATACTTGATTTGGCTATATCTGATTTGAGTACATTGAAGTTTTTGACTAAATTGTCGCTTAATGGAAATATCCTTGCATTAGTAAGATCGTGAACTTTTTCTGAAAAATTTGGAATCCACTTGCTATAGTGTGCAAACATTCCTATCACTCTTCTCAGTGATGATAGATCAGATGGTGGTGGTAAGTTCAGAAGTGGGCGCAAGCGGTCTGCATCCGGTTTGATAATGTTGTCTTCTATGTTATAACCCAGAATATTAATAGAGTTTTGTGAGAACTTACTCTTTTCTTTGTTGAGAGTGAGGCCATATTTCTGGGCAGCTGCCAAGAATTTCTTAAGATTTTTGTCATGTTCAAGCTGGGTCTTGCCACAAATTGTAATATCATCAAGATAAGCGAACGTTCCCTTGAGATCTTCTTTTCGGATTACCCAATCAATCGTCCTTTGAAAACTTGAGACGCCGTTTGTAACGCCAAATGGAATTCGGAGAAATTGGTATAAATTTCCTAAAGCCTCAAAAGCCGTAAAGTGACGTTCTTCGAGCAAAATAGGAACTTGATGATAAGCACTTTGCAAATCTATAGCGCTAAATATACGATATCTAGATATTTGTGACACCAGCTCCTCTATGTTTGGTAGAGGGTACGCATCTAAATGAGTATATCTGTTTATAGTTTGGGAATAATCGATGACAAGACGCTTCTTATGGTTGACATTTTTTGTGATAAGGACTTGAGCTCTCCAGGGGGACGTGCTTTCTTCGATTATTCCATCAGCCAAAAGTTTCCTGACTTCCTCTTTTATAAATTCTTTGTCATCCTCACTATGTCTTCTCGATTTTATAGCAACAGGCTTAATTCCAGGACATACATTAGAAAACAGTGGTACGGCAGGCACGGTAGCTGCAGCAACACTGCATACATTAACTTTGATAGGTTCCTTCAAACCACCAAAAGAAAACTCTAGTGAAGAGTGTTGATGCAGAATATCATGTCCAATGATGAGATCAGCGCATAAATTCTTTACTATGAGTAGATTCAGATTTTTGTACTCATAATCTCCAATTTTGGCAGAGACGCTAGTTTGTCCCTCTACTTTGGAAGTAAGAGTAGTCGAAGCCATTGAAATTCTCTGGTTACTCGGTTTCTTTTTTAAACGACAGAGATTAAAGAATTCCTCATCCATAAAACTAATTGAGCTGCCTGTATCGATTAATGCTTGGGCGCGTATCCCTTGAACGTACGCCGTTACAGTAGCCTTTCTAAGCGAGTCCGGCGATGCCGCTATTATACAAGCACTAGTTTTATTACTTTCAGTTTCGACTACTGATGCAGCAGTCTGTTTCTTGCTACGACATACTTTAGCTAAGTGTCCTTTTTTTTCACAAATCTGACAGGTAGAGTCGAGTGCTGGACAATCTTTTCTAGGATGCACGCGACCCCCACAGAAGAAACATTTTCGCTTGAAGAAAGACGCTGCTGATGATTCTTCTTCCTTTGATGAACCTTGTACAGCATTCAAATTTGAAGATTCGTAACTCTGTGAATTCATCTCCGCCATTTCTAACGATCTCGCCTGATCATAGGCTTTGTCAAGAGATAGAGTTAGATTTTCAAGCAATCGCTGCCTGATTTTACTCGAATTGAGACCAGTAATAAATGCGTCTCGAATATTATCGGATTTATTCGTTTCAGCATCAACCTTTCCAAATTGACAATCTTTCGCTAATAATTTTAGCACCTGCATATAAGTATCAATGCTCTCATCGTGCTTTTGTCTCCTAGTAGCTAGTATATACCTGGCCTAGACTACATTTTTTGGTTTATTGAATAGTTTGTCGAGTATGTCTAGGGCTTCTTCATAGGTAGTACATTCACTTATGTATGCGAAGATTGTTGGAGATACGTGGTTTATAAGTATGTCTATTTTCATACCAGCTGTTTCTTTTGTAAAGTTCGATAAGAAACTCTCGAACGTCCTCTTCCAGTGCTCCCATTCCTTGGAGGCGGAATTACCGGTTGGATCAATGTTCAGTTTATCGGGACGCAGAAACCGTTCCATTTTATTTATTCTGATAACATTTTGTGGAATAAATTGATAAATAAGATAAAACCTTTAGAATAACGGTTTTATTCCACAAAAATATTTGACAACAATGAACTAAAAGACTATCAAATGTAAAGTTCAAAATAGACATTAGAAACTAAAGAGTTAATATTATGACAATTACTAACATTATTGTGGACCTTTTTTGTTGTCTGATTGATAAATAAAATAATAAAAAATAATAAAATATCGCCGAATTGCCGTTCACTTTTTTAGTCGCCGTGCGACCCCTTGAAATAGCTTAAATGGCGAATAATCGCCTGATATGTCGTGTCATGACAATTGTCAACACTATTGCTAGATTAGGCGACTTTTCGGCATTTAGAGTACTTTGAGGGGTCGCGCGGCGACGAAAAAAGTGGTCGGCGACTCGATGATATTTAGGCTATGTTCGAAATAGGAAAAGGCGATTTTAGGCTACTTAACAAATGTCAGGGAAATTACAAATTTAATTGGGGATTTTGTGGAGAATAGAGTTGTAAAATAACTAATTTGGGGGTTTGAGTAATTCGACGTGTGGGGAATTGCTGCCGGACATTAGGAATATGAACTGTCTTATTTCCCCAATTCTCTAATGTCCGGTAGCAAGCAGAATTGTAGAGCTGTTTTTCTTGATTTTTAGGGATTTTATGGCTTGGACGAATATCGGCTATTTAACATACATAAATTGGCGAATTAACTTACTATTCTATTCTATTTTTAAGTTTCTGGCTTCTCTTGTAGAATTTTGCCTGTGTCATGTCAGTCATGGGAAATTAACTTCACAAAAGTCTGGCAATACTAATTGTCAACCTAACTGTTCGGCTGATGGACTTTGTTTCCATGGCCAGCAATAAATTAAAAAAAAAACCTAACTGTTCATGTCATTTGTTCAACAAAATACTCGAATATTTTATTTTATTTTTATAATTCCACTAGGCTTAGTTTACGTTGTAAATAAAAAGTAGTCATAAGTGCTCGTATGTAGTGTTTATGAATGACACCATCGATCGATGTAGTATGGCTTCTACTAGTAATTCGAGAAACGTGTACTATGAAGATGCTCCTCCAGAAGCTTTTGATAAAGATGAGTTCTTTTGCACAGAACGGATTGTTCCTAGAAAAATCAAGCCTCAGAACATTGTGATAAGGCTTATGAACAGGGAAATTTACGGTTCAAAGAAGCCAGGCTCACATTTCCATGTTGTTAGGGAGTTTTATCAAAATGTTTTCCCAAACTTGACTATAGTAAATGTTGAAAAGCCTCCGTGTTTTTTACGAAAGTTTAGTCCTGATGGGAAGCATTTTATTGCTTTTTCTGCAGATCAAACATCTTTAGAGGTAGGTAATCAGGAAATTGTTAAGATGCTTTGTATGAAAAGTTTTATCTATTACCTGTTCATACAAAGAATTTATTGCCCTGGTTAATAGAAGTTATCGAAACAACTTAGCTGGTATTATAATAATTTTTATAATATATCAAGTTTTTTTGTTCCTTTGTCAGTTTTCATGATTATTTTAATTATAAATTGCATAATTATATAAATTTTTTGGTCAAACCTACATCTCTAATTATGATTGTGTAACATATCACATAAATAATTTTATCCTAATGCTCATTTAATATAATTTTATTTAAAATAGACTTTTGTCATATAACAATTCACATAATATAAATAATGTTTAGTCTTAACCCTACACAAATCTCATACCTGAGAATCTGAAAATGTAATTGAATCGACATTAGATCAAGTGCTCCAGTTGTCACCACCATCACGGCCTGCTACAGTACGAGAAGTATGGAGACTTATTAAAGACTTGAAAGATAAGAAAGCACCAGGCTTCGATCTAATTACAAAGGAAATTCTAAAGGAGCTCCTTAAGAAGGCGGTTGTATTCATTACTACCTTATTTAATGGAATACTAACGACTCAACCTTATCCAGACTTATGGAAGATCTCCCAAATTATCATGCTACATAAAGTGGGAAAACCATCAAATGTAACCTCCAGAAAGACCAATTAGCCTACTACTGACGTTATCAAAGCTGTTTGAAAAGGCCCTGCTGAGAAGAATATTGTCAATAGTTGCGGTAAACAACATCATATCAGACCATCAGTTTGGATTCAGATTACAGCATTCAACTGTGGAACAGGTACATAGAGTATATGACAAGATCCGGTGTGCGCTAGAAAACAAAGAGTATTGCTTTTCTGCATTCCTGGACATACAACCGGCATGTGACCGTGTTTGGCATGAGGGAATTTTATATAAGATTAAGATAACTCTTCCCCATAGCTTTTTCCCATTGCTGAAGTCTTTATCTGACAACAAGATTATTCCAAGTAAAGGAAACCGATGCAATATCAAACTTGCACGACATAAAGGCAGGTGTGCTGCAGGAATCTGTTTTAGGCCCAGTACTATACACTGCAGATCTGCCTATAATACCAGGGGTGACTAATGCTATTTACACTGACGATACAGCGATTCTGGCTAGTGATAAAGATCCTACCAAAGCGTCACTAGTCTTACGACGTAGACTCAATGAAATAACAAAATGGCTTCAAACATGGTGAATCAAAGCCAGTGCCAAAAAATCAGTTCATATGACTTTTACAATGAGGAAAGGAAACTGTCCGGCAGTCCAACTTGAGAATGCAGAACTCCCACAAAGTGACTTTGTGAAATATTTGAGCTTACATCTTGATTGGCGACTATTATTATTATTATTAGGGTGGCTTCATTTGGAGCCTATGAGGCCCCGTGTCACTGCGACCATAAATGATCTATTGTGATCACCACTAATCATAGCTTGGAGCCAAGACCGACAGCATTAAGGAACTGAAGGACTTTCCTGGCTCCAACAGTCTTTATGTCCTCTGGGTGTGGCCTGTGCCTACCCAGTATGGAACCTCTTACGCCCAACAGAGGGCAGCACTGGGTGAGGAGATGCACAGGAGTTTCATCCGCCTCGTGGCATAATCTACATTCTCGGTTTTCTCTGTCCAATATTTGACATGTGCTTATTCAAGCCTAATGCCTTGTTAGGCTCTAGTCAGCATTCTGATGCCATTCCTGTCCAGTGACAGAGCTTTTCTACAGTGTTTGGCACTGAAGGCTTCAGGACTTTAGAATGCTCAAAACCCTTAGTCGGCAGCCACACGTCACGGGAGACGTGGGAGCTCTCGTTCCGCAAAGTGAGCTTTGCCAAGCTGTGTGCTATTCCTATAAAGGGCTCAGGACCATTGAAGGCCTCCCTAGCACCAGTCTTTGTCAGATCATCCGCTGCTTTATTACCCTCGATGTCAGAGTGACCAGGAACCTAACGCAGGACTACATTATTCCTTTCCCGAGAGTATTCAGTATAGTTACGCAGTTCTCGAAGAAATACGATCCTCGAAGTTTGGGTGACTGAGGAAAGCGCATGCAGAGAGGCTTGACTATCTGAGTTTATATAAATATAATTGTTAACATAGCCATCTTCTGGTTTAGATCCGCACAAGCAATTATGGCGTATATTACGGCCTGAAAGATAGAGGAGTGACGTCTCTTGTTCGGCTTGTAGCTGAGTCTGGGTCTCACGCCGTGTATACCACAGCCTATGTTGGGTCCCATCTTGGACCCATCGGTATACCAAAGAAGGCGACCGTCCATCCAGGTGAGACTGTTAGTTTCCCAGTCTTCTCTAGTTGGAAATTATACCTGGTAGAGTTTCTTGAAGTTTTGCTTGGGAAGCATGACATCAGAAGTCATTCCCAGAACAGGATGTTCCAGAATTGAGTCCTGGGCCGATCTCAATGTCTGGGAGAGCCATCTAGTGCTTAACCTGGTGGAGAGCCTTTACATGCTGTTACAGGTCTCCTTCTGTATGAATACATGCAGGGGAGTCAGATTAGCAGGCTCGCGACACGCTGTAGACTGCCCAATGTGGCAATAGTGGTTGTTTGACTGACTGCCATTCCAAACAACAGAGGCATATGTTACTATGGGCCTCACAGTTGCCTTGTATAACCAGAGAGTCAACTTTGGTTTTAGACCCCAATGCTATCCTGCCATACGACTACAGATACCTGAGCCATCTTGGCCTTATTGACCGTGTTAGCTACTTATATGACGGTTCCACCTTAGGGTTTGATCTAGGGTTTCCCCTAAATATTTAACTTCTGCGGAAAAACTCACAGCCCTGCCACCATGGATCGGTTCCACTAGCTTGTCTAGTTTCCGCTTCTTAGTGAAAGGAACAATAGTTGTCTTTTCCACATTAATAGATAATTCGTTATCTTGACACCACGCGGAAATGGTGTTAAGAGCTCCTTGCATAAGTAATGACATAGTACTTTGGCAGTGCCCTCGAACTGTGATCACTGGGTCATCCGCATATCCTTGGGCGTCAATGTTCAGTTCGCCCAACCTATACAGGAGCTGATCCACAGCAAGAGTCCAAAGGAGAGGAGAAATTACTCCATCTTGCGGGCTACCCCCTGATCGGCGAGTAACATGGAATAGCACATAAAAGCGAAACGAGAGGAACTCAACCTGCATTACAAAAATCTATACTGGCTGGTCGGATGAAACAGTAAGTTGTCAATAGACAAAAAGCTACTCATCTACAAAACAACACCCACATCCTTTCCACCATCTTTAGATACCGTAATAGCCTTGAGAACCATCCGAATGAATTGGCAGTTGACAATCTGCAGTTATAAAAAAAGTCTCAAAACTAAAGACATACTTCCGTTGGAATAATGTAGTGTGCACATAAAGGGGAAGAAAGTCGCGTTGGAGAGTTCGCCTGAGTTGACATAACCGATTATCAGCACATTTGCTAATAGTGGCACTGAGTGCAAATGATTCGCAAAAAAAACTTATATTGTATAATTTAAGTTTTGTTATCAATTATCAACTAACTAACTAACTAACACTTGCTTTAAATAATAATTATAGGTTATAAAACTTTGTTTTGTTTACAGAACTAAATGATTATTAAATTGAAATAAATTTGATCTAAAACATTTCAAAATGTAAATAATTCAGTTCTGCTTTTTCATACATTAACCTTAGAATAATAACGCATAGAAACCTAGCCCGCACACGCTAAGTGAGGCAAGTTAGAGGGTTCCAAACGCGTCCCAGGAGCGCGCGGGCTGTTAGTGCTCAAGGTCATATTGCACCGCGAACAGCTCTAAAATTTTTTGCTAAAAATGACGAAATGTGCGGTAAATGGGTGTAAAAATACAACAGACAAACATAAAATAGACACTAACATCGCATTCCACAAGTAAGTAATGCGTTTCAACTCATATTTTTATGTAAATATTCACATAACAGAAAAATAATTTCGCGGCAACAAGATACGAAAGTATTGCAAAGTAACGAATTTTTTTTCTCCCCATTGTGCTATTCTGTATCAAAATAATTATATTACGTAAATTTTAGTGGTGCCTGTAATTTAGATTTATTTGCGCATCTTGAACTAATATTTACTTTAATAAACATTAAATGTTTTCGTTAACTCCTGTAAGTGATTGGGACACTTAATTATTTTATAATACTTTTAACGGCTCTGCGTTCATGCTTTATTGAATAATTATTTATTTTAATTTTATTTGAATTGGAGCACATATTGCAACAAATTTACAGTACTTATATATTTGTTTCTACTATAGTGTTGGCACC